CGTATTGTCTCAATCGAGCCAAGAATCCTTCGTAATGTCTATTCATCTTCCTCGGCCACTTTGAGGTTGGCCCCCTCTTTGATCATAACAAATCCTTTCTTTTCATTCATCTCTAAGAATCGCTCCTCATGTAATTTTGAATTGAAATCTTCGATAGTTTCGAAGGTGAATGGTTGAGCAAGCGCCAGGTTCTGTAGCGCCCGACTAGCCTGAGATACGAATGTTACAAATTCATGTTGGTCTCCTGGGATTACTTCGAGATGTCCGTCTCGATTCCACATAAATAATTTCTGATGAGTCGTCGAAGGCACGACTCCTACCCCATGAATCCATTCTCTGCCAAGTAATGCATTAAAGTTGGCATGTGATTGGACCACCACGAACACAGTAGGCCTCGAGTAAGTGCCTACTTTCACATCCAAGGCAATCATGCCTTCTGAACTTGATGTTTTTCCGCTGAAATCGGAAATCATAATATTATGCTTGACTAAGTCTTTCAGTTCAATGCCAAATTTCTTTAGCATATTAATTGGCAGTATGTTTACTGCTGCTCCACCATCGACAAGGACCCTATTCACCATCTGCCCTTGAATCTCGATATTCAGTAATAAGGGTTTCAGCTGGAACCTCATTTCCTCGGATGGAGGATCAATAAAAGCAGCATCTCTATGAGGTACTTCACATGATGTTTGTGTAACCCATGTTACCTTTGGCTTTATGTTTTCTGAGTAGAAGTCATCTTCTCGATCGGCATCACTCTGTTCTTGGTACTCTTGATATTCACTAACATATTCCGCGGGTAGAATTGATATTACCCCGATTTGATGTTCATCCCAAGTACCCTCGTTCTTATCATCGAAAAATTCTCTTGTATATTGACTCTCCATCGGCACAATATTCTCTTCAAAGTTTCTATAATTATTCCAATAAGGGATCCTTCCTCCTCTTCTCCAGGGCCTTCCTCGGAATCTCCTTTGGAATGTTGGAAATCCAATGTTCGATCCTTCGTCGTATGACAATCTCTCGAATACATCATTGCTCTGAAGTCTGCCTCTTCCTCCTCGAGAAAGATACATCTCTCTTCTGACCCATTGCCTTTGATTTCCGCTAACACCAGAACCAACAGATTTCTGTTGACTTTCTTCGATCGTTGGTCGGGCCGTTTGATCCACTTTATCATTTTTCCTTTTATTCTGACTCTCGATCTTCTTTATATGTTCTAATCTGAAAGCTTTGGTAGCCGATTTATCGAATACCGCACTACATCATGGGCATAACGACACATCTTCGTCTTTTTCTTTCTTTCTATTCAAAAACTCAATGAGGGAATATCCTGACCGAGGGTAGATCTCCTTTTTGAATTCTTTCTCGAATTCACTCAGATCGAATTCCATATCTTCTTCAAATACGTCCATTCTAACATGTTTAGGATCAATGTCTTCAGTAACATCGACCATGCCTACAAAGGTAGAATTCGTCATTCGGACATCCTCAGTCATGCCCGTGTGGGATTCAATGTATCCCACTTGCACTTCAAATGGACTCGTGTCCACTTTCATCGACATCTCTTCAAATTTCGAGTCTTCCTTGGTCAATCGCATCTTGGATCGTATTCCTGAAATGTATACAATTGTTAGTCCAATGTCCAAAAACATTATGAAATTTACAATATTTTCGACCATTCCTTTGTTACGTCGTAGGCGGTTTATGATCTTCACTCAATTTAATTTGTTTGTCTTTTAATAAAATATCGAAGATTTTATCAGCCTTTGTCACATCGAAAGTATATGTTCGATTTGTCATCTTATCTTTTACTTCATTCTTTTGTAGCAATTTACAGATATATGGAGCTCCTACTTTGAGCTCTGCTATATTTACTTTCTCATCGACAGTCTTTTCCACATCATTCTCTGTCGTGGGATCTGTTTCATACACATCATTTATATATGATATTCTTTCTTTCTTCATTGGTTTCTCAAATTTCTTATATCTTTGTTTTTCATATTCAATTTGTTCTACTCTTCTCACTTTATCAGCTAACTGAGCCATATCATTCAATGGTAAATTGACTAACTTTTTCCTAATCGAGAATTCTAAGCTTGCAGAGGCCATTCTGACTAATTCATATTCAGGAATTTGAGTAAAGCATCTTGATTTCATTTGTCTAAATCGATTCAAATAATCATCTATGCTTTCATGATTGTATCTCTTTATATTCATCAAGTCGATGAGACTTACTTGAGTTTCTCCTCTAAAGAATTGCTCATGAAAATTTCTTTCCAGTTGCAGCCAATTATATATCGAATTGGGTGGCCACGAAGTAAAAACATTTTTAGTCAAAGAACTAGGGAAATATTTCATTTTTAATTCTTCACTCATCGCGAGATCTCCACATTCGATCTGATATCGAGCTACATGCTCGATAGTTGATTCACCAACTTCTCCAGCAAATTTGGTGAATTTAGGTACTTTGTATCCTCGAGGTAATTCCGTCTCGAGAATCGTGTTTGGAAAAGGAGACACAAAGTATGTTTGGTTGGGTGGTCTAAATTCTATCCCTTGGAAATTCATCCTTTGTCCTAACATGTGATTATTTTGCATGTTATTTTGATTATACATATTTTGAAATCCCTCATTCATATTTCCATAAATATCATTTCTTCCATGTTGGTATTCATTCCCTATTTGTTGATCATTGTTTCGATTTCTTCTTAAAAGATATGGGGGATTGATATTGGCATTCTGGTTAGCATGATTTTCTACCCTTGTTCGTCGAGGTACAGCCAATGCATCCCCGATTCGTGACATTTGATCTGCTAATATCTCAAAACTAGCTGTAGTGTTTTGAACTAATGGATTTAGGACTGTAGTCAACTGTTGGGATAACATATTCAACATCTCAAAATTGCTCTCATCCATTTGTTGTCTAAGTATCCCTAATGAGTTACTTGGATATCCCGAGTACCGAGTGTTCTCGATAGTCTCAAAATTGGATCGATGATAATCTCTATCGAATGTATATCTTCCATGTTCCAAATTTCCTCTATGGTCTAGATTTCCTCTATGATCTAGATTTGGAAGCGTCTCGTTGTGTGCCTAAATTCCGTCCAGCTTCTCGAATTCGAGGGATTACTAAGTTTTGAGATGTTCCTAAATTCGGAAGGACTCCAAAGTTCTGGGGCATGCCCAGCGTTTGAGGCATTCCTAAGTTATATCTCGAATTCCGCTGTGTTGAAGAAGTTCCAGCCCCGCTCGTATTACTAAGGGAAAACCCAGGTGGTCTTACACTCATATATGGCCCTACATATGTTGTTGTGGGGTTTCCTATAGTTTGCATATTATTTGGTACCACCGTATTAGATCCTACTTGGGTGTTTGTTAAGGTACCTGAATTTAGCTCGTTACCCACAGGTATCGACATACTTGTAGTCGTCGATGTTACAGGCATATTCCCATTATGACTTTGCCCCCCAGTATTTGGTGAATGTACACCATTTAGACCCTCACTATTACTCTGGTTATTTGAAGAATTTTGACTCATTCTTATAACTCTCCCACTCCTTAATCTCATACACTTTCGGACTAACCAATTTTGTGTTTTTCAACACAAGTAACCCCTACCTGGCGCGCCAATTTGTTTCTGGTGGAATTTCGATCGATTTCGACTCTTAAGATGTTTTGATACTAACCAAAATTCTACCACGTAAGTTCTTTTTACTTAGGCTAGCAAATTAATTTTCAATCGAAATGTGTATGAGGATCGAATTTTACCCGATTTCAAATATACTATTTTTGGTGTTTTGTATTAAGAATACTCGAAGTAAAGAAAGCAAGAAATATACTGGAAATCGAAAATCAGTGCTGAAATTTAGATTGCAAAGAAATGTAAATTACGAGAATCTTAAATTTGCTTTAAGTGTAAAAGACGGTAAATCGAAACAGAGACGATGTAAATAACAAGAAATCGAATTTGCCGGAAATGTAAAGGACAGTAAATCAAAGGTGCAATAGATGACTGGAAATCGAAATTGCATTAATGTAAAATGACTAGGGAATATAAATACGGAAACTTAACTTGCATTAAATCGAAATGACCAAGAATCGAAAATACATAAACATAAAATTGCTGAATATAAATTGCATCAAAATAAATTACCAAGGAAAGTAAAGAAAGCGGTAAAGGTACTCCGTGAGCATGGAAATCCAGATTGCCAGAAGCTTCATGGTGTTCGTCGTTTCTCCGGTAGACTTCTTCACTACTAATCATGTTCTCTGCCAATTTCCACCCCCCTATTCCTTCCTCCTCTGCTCTATTTATAGGGCATCATTCAAGCCTTCTAGGAGCAGTTAACAAAACTGCTACCACGTTCTTCGTGCGCGTTGCAGTTTCTTCTTCTATGGTGTTAAAACTGCACCCACGTTCCCATGATCTTCATCCTCTGCCACGATTTAGAAACTGTTTCTTATGTGCATGTTTAACTCCTTCTCTTTAAGATCTGGCCACGATTTTGATATTTATGCGGGTTAACCTTTCTTTCGATTTAGACTTCGATTTTATCGAGAACTTTGGATTACTTTTGATTCCTTTTAACCTTAGCATCATATACTTCTAATTTCTTGGTTTGTTCCACAATAAACTTTTGACTATTATTTCTCCGATTCCGACTCTAACTTTCGATTTTATGTGTCATACTCTTCTAATTGGACATCGAATGGTTTCTCATCCACCTTTTCGCTTTACCGATCAGTCACATGTTTCTCGATTTTTCTTTCCTTCATTTTTTCGATCGCTTTTCTCGATTTCCTACTAACACAAATACAATTACGTTTAGGTTTCGTATTCCAGAAAATCGAATTCTCAACTTAAAAAAAAATTGTGCTATCTAGGTAAATAAAACGTACAGTGTACTATTTGAGTAATTAAAAAACGAATACGTGCTACTGTAGAACAAATTTCGCCAAAACACTCTATTTTTCTTTTCTTGTTTGTCTTCAATTACATGCCGGTGCATACTTATCATCAACGTGATATTTATTATATCTAAATTTTTTTTTTATATATATATTTAAAAAGTTTTTTTTTATAGTGTATTTTTATATTTGGTACATGAAAAATGTTTTTTCGAGTAATTAACCATTCGATATGTTAGAGGAAAGAAAATGTCGGAGAAATAAAATTTTAAATTTTAAATAAAATAAAGAAATCTTTAAAATTTTATTTTAAAAATTAACCTTTTTTTTTCTTTTTAAAAAAATTATCCTCGTATTTCTCTCTCGTTCATCCTTACCATAAAAAAAATTGATATATTTTTATTTTTTAATATTTAGTAAATATGTTATTAATCATATTTCTCTTGTTTACCTTTAGTCTTTATTTGGATTCATGAATATATTATTATAAAAAAATGAGAGAGGAGATTTGAGGGTGTTTAGGTCTGTTTTGAGCAAATTTAAGAGAAAATAAAAGGGGAAAAAATATTAAATAGTGAGTTGAGACCATGCGTTGAGACATGTTGAAAAACAATTGCAGTATGTAATATGAGACAATGCATGATGACCATGCGCGTTGAACCACGATGTGTCTGCACTTTCATTCTTTCTTTATTCTTAGCATGCATTTTTCAGTTTTAAAGACGAAGAAGACATTTGTAAGGGTCCAACAATTTTTTCGAATAAGTTATATTATTCTTGTTATGAAATTTATTTACTACAAGAAAATCGTATATATTTTACTGATTTTTATCGATAGATTTGTAACTTGTCAAAAAATGAGTCATTACCGACGAAAATATAGAATTTAGTCTTACGACAAATATATTTATCGGTAAAATAATAATTAGTTACTGACGGATATATCCGTCGGTAAATTAATAATTAATTATCAACAAATATATCCATCAATAAATCTGTCGGTAAATTAACAATTAATTACCAACGAATATATATGTCGATAAATTCGTCGATAAATTAACAATTATTTACCAACAAATATTTTCGTCGGTAAATCTATCGATAAATTAACAATTAATTACCGACAGGTATATCCGTTGGTAAAATTATATAATAATTACTTAATATATTATAATAAATTATAATTATTCACCTAATTAAAAATTAAATATTTTTTATTTAATAATTTAATTTAATCATAATTAGATTAATTTATAATAATTTATTAAATTAAATAATTTTAAAAAATAAATATTTAATTATATGTAAATATATAAATATGTAAATATATAAATATATAAATATATTTGTATATAAATATAATTTATTTATAAATTATTATCAAAAAGATTTAGTAGCTTAGTAGTTGAAGTATCAATCTCTAACTCTAATGTACTTGGGTTTGAATCTTGCTAATGACAATTCTCTTAATCTGATAATAATTCAAATTTATAAAAATATAAAGAAAAGAATGATTAAGATGAGTTGTATAATCGATTCCCTCTTAAATTGAATATATGAGCCTTCCATTCCATATTCTTGTGTTAATGTTTTAGAAATTTCAATTGATTTTCTCGTCAAAGTTGTGCATGAGAAAATTTGCTAGAAGTAAATTTGAAGTCATTTTGTCTAATTTCATGACTATCACGTCTTTATAACCATTGAATAGTATTTTTGTTCTACAATTTCTAGAGGGGAGAATTTATATAATTTAAACTACAATAAAAAATATATTATAAATAATATATAAAATAATTTTATTTATACTTGATGTATAAAATAATATTAATATATTTAAATATTATGTACAATATAAATTAATGAATATTCTTATATTTAATTATATCAAAATTATCATTTCTATCTAATTTATCCATTATAATAATAATGATATTTTAATCATTACATTAAAAATTATTATTCAATTTTTTTTATATTCATTCTTATCAATTGCATCAACTATAATAAATACATTCAAAATCCTTTAAATTTAATATTTCTCTCAATTTTACGAAGCTAAATAATTCTCTAAAATTCCACGTTATTAAAATATAATGAATATTATAATACACATGATATATAGTACTGGGGAGAAGTATTATTGAATAAATTATTTTGAATAATCTTTTATCTTTAATTAAAATTATCAAAATTACAGATATGTTTGTATAAGCCAACACATATATTTTTAGAATATTTAAGCATATAGTTGTTGAAAGTTACATAATAATAATAATATTATTATTATTATTATTATTATTATTATTTACTATTTATTTATTTTTTCTATTTAGGAAGTAATGAGAAATTAAGATCAATTGAATGAAGGAATGCAACTTTTGATATCAAGTTTTTAGATTGTACATCAATGGAGAACAAGAAGACAGCTTAATTAGAAATTTTTTATCTAATTTTTATTTTAGTTTTAGGCCTTGATTTAAAAGCATTTAGATATATTTTGGATTTAAAAAAAAACTCTTACTTAGCTTATCTAGTATTAGGTCTAATTTCTATAAACTAAAAATAAAAATAAAAAATGTTTAAAAATAATTTGATACTTTTGTATCCTTGTGAAATTAATATTTTTTATAGAATGTTAAAATAGATTTAGTTTGATGAGACAGTAAAAAATATTTAAAAAATAGGTCATAGATTACAACAAAAATTTATAGCCTAAATTAAATCATGTTTATTTTGGTTCGACTTATTTAAATCATAATCTATATAACCTTATAGTAAGTTAGTATATAGACTTACGAGTCAATCCGTTTTACAAAATAATAATGATTTTTTAAATAAAAATAAAAATAATATTATTTTATTAAAAATATAGATGTATTATAAATTAATTTATCAAGGGATTTGCTATGCTAAGAATAAATATAAGAATAAATCTCTAACAACTACTTATTCTAATATTTAATAAGATTAATTACTATTTTACATTAATAAATTACTAAAAAATAAATAATGATAATAAAAAAATAAATTTTTAATTATTATGTTAAGATTGAACGAATATAATATCTTATAATTTATATATTAAATTATTATATCTTATATAAAAATTAATTCTATTATATAATGTAAATTTTAAAATATACTTTTATTTTTATTAAATATTTTTTAATTAATTAATTTAATATAAATATATTAATATTTAAAAAAGAAATCAATGAAGTCAAAATTAAACCGTTAGTGAGTTGACCTATTATAAAATTAAATTAGACTAAAATTTTTAATATATTTTAAAATATAAGTCAATTTATATTATCAACAGTAGAATCATACAAGATTCAACTGAAGTGTCCGTTTTCACGACTCAATTACTAACTTTTTCTTTTTCATTTTACATGACTCTACCACTAACTTTTTGTTTTTCATTTTCACACCTATAACAAAACCCTATTTTTTTTCTTTAATTTAAAAAATTGATATGCATAGAGTGAAAAGAGGTGACAAATATGATTATGTAAATTATTCTTTTCTTAAGCACTGTGTGTATCAATAAGAAGATATTTTCATTGGAGCTTACTAAGAGATATATAAATGTAGCATGAAATTAATTGGTGATGAATGAGAAATATAAGGTCTAGTCTTAGGGGAATCTTTTTTTGGGTTGTTAAATAATCCTCTTGTAGTGCTTCTAAATGCGATTTTGGTGGCATAGCATGTGCCTATGTTCTTTAAAGCTGAACAATTTTTCATTTCTTTGAAAATTGAACTCATTTTAAAGCCCCCCAAACCTCAAAAGCTCCCCAACACCATTCTTATTCACATACCCTAACAAACTAAAGCTTGATTCATTTCAATACCAGTGTTGGTTTAGTCATTGAAAATTCTTCATATGATTGAGTTTTTCTAAAGATTTTTTTTATGAGAGCATATTTTTTTGAAAGAAAAATTTATATTTGTACAAAACTAATATGCATATACATACACTAGTTTTACAATGTACATAATATTATTAAGATATACGAAGCCACGTACGATATCTATGATTTGAAAACGTATATTTTGTTTTGTGGAAATAACATATAAACATATGTTCAAATGTTTTAGAAACGGAGTGTCTCCAAATACTAACAAAATGAGACAGTGAACTTGAATGTGATTTCCTCTCCAAATAATGCTTCCAAATGAAGTTACATAAATTATAATATGCATTATATGTAAGGTGTCGGTGAATCTATTTTATATATAAACATTTATTTATCATAGTTCTCACACTTAGTAATTTTTGTCGACTGAAATGGATTATAGTGAATTTTTCGGTAATTGTATTATTTATTAGTTAGACTCGAGTTAGGAGTAATTTATATATATTAATTTATTGATATTTTTTAAGAATAAAATTATCATTATGTTAATGTCTCATTTAAAAAGTTATTGACTTTATGTTTGTTATTTTCTATTTTAAAGTTTTTACTAATCACAAATTCTATTTCTAAAAGACATTAAAAGAAATATATATATATATATATATATATATATATATATAAATTATATTTAATTTTGATTCCTAAATAATTTTAAATATAACATACTATAATAATAAAAAAGTTTATGAGAATTCTCTAAGAAAAAATATATAAAAATTACACATATTTTTCCGTTTTGTAAACATTGTACGAAAAAAAACATTTAACATGTTAAAAACTTAAAAAATAGTTAATTAGTATTTTATTGATTTAAGTGGAAGGATTAGTAGTGAGAAGAATTTTGTAGAAAGATTTAGAAGTATTAATTTGAAAAGAAACCGACTTTGGTGAGGGCCACGCCATTCTCAAAAAGAGACCACTAGCTTTAAGTTGGAGGTCACGCCCTCGTGTTCTTAAACTTTGCTGTACAAAACAAAAGCTTGTAGTTTAATTAATGTTATTCATTGGTTGTTAAAAATGTTTTGTACATGGTTTCGCAATTCCCATGCACATGCAAAACCAATACCCCATGTTTCGTAGGCTCTTAATTTTATGCTCTCACCCTTGTTTTAGGAGTTATGCCCTCCAATGCAATACCTTTTCATGTTTTACAATCCTTTCATTTCTTTTTACCTCTTCGTTTCATTGTCAAGTCATTGTTGTTCAAGTGATGAACAAGTGTTGATGTGTTCAAAAAAACCATTTGTCTTGTTCTTGCCATTGCAAGTGTGGTCCTATATCTATTGAACGTGGCGTAAGAGAAGTAGGTGTTCCTCATTAAATAATTCAAGTTTGGAGACACGGTGTACCTGTTTTATGACAACCATCATTAAACTATGAACCATAGAGGCTAAGCTGGCTCGAACATAGACCCAAACCAAGGTCAAACATAGCCTGTAGCCATATTTGACTAGAAAAAAGTTATGGGTTAGTTCCTCTCTCCAATCTTTGAAGGATATCTGTGATCATGCATATCATTGTGTAGTACAAGTTAACGTGAAAAAAACCAAAATATTTTTTTTTTAATTTTTTTATAAGAAAGAAACTAGTCTACTTATAAGATTTCCTTTGAATACTTATATAGTTCACATCAACATTAGAAAAAAAAGCGATTTTGGTATGCATTTTTGTTTATACATTTTACTTAGTTGGAAATTTGTGTATTTTATTCTGTTATTATTAATATGTTGCTTAACAACAAGTTTTATAATATGTATGATAATTATATTAGTATTTATCTATTTTATTTCACATTTTTTTCTCTTCATTATATAATATTATAAATAACATCACTCGATCTGCACCAAAAATACAACGAATGAAAACTAAATTATTATGACTTTTCATGACTGCTTCCTCAGTTTCAATATTTCGCATTCAAACTTGATATTGAGTAACACCTTTTATTTAATAGTCACTTACTACTACTTTATAAAAACAAACTTACAGTAATTAATTGCTTATTAATTTATTATTATGGATTTTAGTTTTCCCAAGTTTTTGACACATCGAGGAATTATATAATGGTGAAAAGAACAGGAGTCGGAACCCTAGCTTTGACTTGGTCTGAACTTTGAACACTGTATAAATCCCATGTTGTAAGTTAAGTTTTCTCTCTTTCAGTTGTTGTTCAAAGAAAGAAGACACTTGCTCATGAAAAGTAGAAACCGTCAGATGAAGATCACGGTGCTCTCAACCCTTTTACTAGGATGTCTCTTGGTCATGACTGTCCAAGGGGATTCTTCAGCAAGAGTTTTTCCAGCAGGTAAAAAAATATGCCCCATTTATTAATTATTTAGTTCCCAAAAATTAAAGATGGCATGATCTGACTACCACAACTTCAACTGCAGGTAAGGTAGAGAATAAAAACAAGCTTGGAGTGTCTGCTCAAGAGGTATATATCAATTTTATGAACTATGTTACTATGTTGTTTCATCTTGTTAGTTAATTTTATCACCACATGATCATGTCTTATGGAATGATGATAGGAACCATTTATGAAAAATGGAGCTGGTCAGGTGAGGAAGCTAGGGCTTGGGGGAAAGAAATTTAGCAGAAAGGAAGTGACATATGTTGATTATTCTAAGAATGGAAAAGGAGCAGATGGAGAGACTTCAAAGATTTCAGGTGCAACCTATTCTGATGGAATATGTGACTTTCATGAAAGGGAGGGAGATCATAAAATAGTAAAATGTAAAGGGAGGAAAAGTATTAAACCAAGAAAGCTCAAAATGGATGGTTTTGTAGCTTTCACTGATTATCAGGGACCCAAGCACCACCTTCCAAAACATAACTGAGTGAAAGAAAAGCATTGAAATCCGTTTTCTGACTTGTGAGTTTAGCTAGCATTTGTCACTAATCTTAGAGTGGAAAAATTGCTTTGTGGATTTCATCTATACATATGTTATAATTTGTGTGAATAAATGTGCAGCAATTTCCTAATCTTTGAAGCCGTCCTTGCTTTTTCATTGTTGAAAATTGAAAATATTTTATGCTAACACCTTATCAACAAACTATATATATCAGTCTTATTTCTGTTCACTCATCATAGTGTTATCAAAGAAATTGTACCTATGGCTCCTCATATATTGCTTCCATTCTACAGGTAACGATAGTGGTAGTTTGAAGAAGCCTTCTGGATCACGAGACCAAAAGAATGATGCTCAGGTTCTACTCACTGATGCTTAAACATTGCTAAAATTTGTCTTTTTTTTTTTCAATAGAGTCAACAGTATAGTTTATAAATAAGTATTTCTTTACAATAAATTGAGCTTCATTCTTTCCAATACGCATGCAAAACATAATGGATCTTAGATATAATTTTACACAGATTATGTGTTGACATATACTTAAATATTCATGCAGAAGCTTGTAATAACGGGGCCAAAGCAATATTTGAAATCCACCAAATTTGTTATTCTAAGTAGTATTCCCCCCAGCACGAACCCGAAGTCATGTTCACAAGATTGCAAATACAACAACTTACGAAGTTCCTCAAGTCCCGAACAACAAATTTCTGAAGAACCAACACAAAGTAGCACTCAAAAAGATGAGACACAGAGATTCTCTGAAGCTGCAAAAGAGATTGCAAGCCTGATATATAAGGATTATAAGGGAAAACCAAGCCACAGGTCACCCATCAATAATCAAGAGCCTAAAAATTGAGATTATCAAGAGTAATGACATGGGTATATTTATATATATCTATCTAGTTCACAGTTTTGCACCAAGTTGTTGCGTTAGCAACTACCTGATATGATGGCCTAGATATATATATGATATAGGTTTTTGGTTTATATTATAGTTTCTGATGTGACACAAAGGCATGCAGCCATAGGACTTATAACAAATATAGTTGTTCGTTAATTTCATTTGAAACTAAAGAATAGATATATATGTAGAACGCATGCAGTTAGAGAGTGTTGTAAGTAAGTGGATGTTGGTAACATGTTTATGAATATGAATTTATGTCCTTGAAGTAATAAAATAGATAACAATGCCAGTTCACGTACGCATACATGGAATGGTTATTCAACTCTATCTGATAATTCTGTGATTAGTGATTGTAACATGGAATGTATTATCTTTGAAAATAGTAATACAAGAATATCTTTTGAAATTAACAAGTTGCAAGGTGAGAATAAACAAATAATTAAATTTGTGTTTGTTATCTCATTATTATGGCAATTAATTAATAGGTTTTGGTTTCTGCATTTTGATCTAAAGGTCACACATATTCTTTAAAGTGTGGTTATGTTATCAAAATCGAAGGCAAATCCTCTTCACCAATCACTGGCTTTGGCGTCCAAGGTTGCACCTCAAAGTCCCATATTTGCTGGTTCTATCAAATGCAAAGAAAACGATTTTAAAATAAACTATAATAATTTTCTTATTTTCTTCGTTGAATGCTTAAACAGAAATCCTACCAAGAAACCCTTTATAAACTCTATTTAATACACTTTACTAATGACATAATTTTTAGAAGAGAAAGGAGAAAAAAATTAAATTAATTTTTTTATAAGTTATAATTAGGTTATATGTAGTTAATTTATAGAAATTATCTCGTATAATCTTTTAAATTTTCATTTTTATACTTTAGTTTATGAAAAAAACTTATTTTCATTATTTTTATTAGTCACTGAGATTTAAACTCTGGATATCTTTGTTATAAGGGACACAAATCATTATCATAAGTCAAATTAATTTATTTACAAGCTAAAACAAATTAGAGAAATTAATTATTAGCTTCTAAGATTAGTTTATACATAACTTAATTTAAATTTATAAAATAGTAATATACTTTTTATTTTTTTAAGGAGAGACCATGATACATCAACTAATATTAAGCTTCGTGATTACAAAGAACCAACATCAAATTTTTTTTTTACTATTAAAATTATTAAAAAATTTAAAATATATAGGAGTAATGTATTGTGAGATGAGAGTTATATATATTTTACCATTCCAATCAAAATTAGTCCGTCTATTTGAATTTTATCAGACAATGGGAACGTGGCATAAAAAAAGAATGTTGAAGAAGTGATACAAAAGAAGAAATAGAATTCGAGGTAAAATATTCTTATTTTATTTTCCTTGTATTTCTTATGTTGTTTTGTTTCAATTAATAATAACTATTATCAAAGTCATTTTAATTATCAAAGTACGACAAAACATTTACTAAAACACGTAACAAAGAAACAAGATGCAATAGAGGCACTAAGATTAAATACATAATAATAATAATAATTAACAAATCTAATCATCCTACACTATTTAAAACTAATTTTATTTTTTAAGAGTATCGTCAAATTATTGAAATTTTTAATATATTTTACAAATATTTAATAACATTAAAAATTACTCAACTTGATCTTAAAAAAAAAAAAAAGGTATACCTTGTGACGTTGTTGTGTTTGGTACTTACTTGACATAGTATAGTATAGACTTAGTCAATTTTTGAAATGCATTTTTTAGTTTGATGTGATTGATGGTACCGTTAAATTGTTAGATATTATAGTTGGTACACTTTCTAAGGTGGTTATTATAAAATTAATAAATTTGTTATTTATGTTTATTTATATTTAAATATAATAAAATTACTTAATGTGTAGTATATAAATTTTTAAGATAAAGATGTGTAGATATATTATTTGATGTTTTTGAGAAGAAGACAAATTATAATACTGTAATTATTTATGATCAGCAATTAGCCAATTAATGAGATGTTCTGTTTTTGATGAAAATGAAAGACGCAGTCGCTGTGTTTGAAGAAAGACCCACCAAATTAATCCGCGTTTTTCTTTTGTTTCCTTTCCGCTTCAAAGCATGAAGAAGCCTCCAACTCAGACTTCTTCTTCATCCACCTTTTTCTGTTTTAACTTCCCTTTATGCCTTCTTTCTCACTTCTTCATCTCGCCACCTCATTCTTATTAAGCACAACTATGACAAGTGGAAGCAATTTTTCTGAATCAAGGTTCCATATCCCCTGACTTTGCTGTCTGATTTGAAGAAAAGTTTTTTTTTTTTTTTTCTGTTGTTGTTGTTGAATCTGGGTTGGTGGGTTTTGAGTTTTATGGATGATGATGATGATGATGTGTTTGTTTGGTGGACAATTTTATTTCCAATGTTTATGAGAGTTAAGTGAGTTGTTATTGGGACACCATCTTTAAAGTCGTAAATTATTGAGTCTTTTGGCTTGTTAGCCATTGTTGAATAATTAAAGCTTTTCAATATTGTTGTATGTTGATTTGTTATTTTGCTTAGATTCATCTTGAAAGTTGGTTGTAAATAAAGTGCTGAATTGGTGTCTGTTCTAGCTTGATGAAGTGTTGAATTAACTTATTTTGGCAGTGAACCTCTCTAGTGCTAGTCGTATGCAAGATGATTGAGAGTTTTGTATCAAGAGAGGTCAAGGGATGGTTGATCAAGGTGATTTAGTTGTCATCTGTGTCTCGATTGGAGTGGCCCTTGGGGTTTTGATAGCTTGCTTAGTATATTTTGGCATAAGGTGGTACAAAAAGCGAGCACATCTTAGCCGATCTGCGAATGAGCCTAGTTTAACAACTATACCTATACGAACAAATGGCTTAGGAACAAGCACAGACTTCAGTGCTTCCCTCACCAGTTCCATAGCCACTTATAGGTCACCGAATCCTCAAAAAAACCCGCATCCAGCTCGGTGGAATCATCAGACTAAAGATGGGTTTGCTTCTGGATCAGGCATTCTTAAATACTCATACAAGTAAGTACATTTCTCTCTTGAACATGAGATGTGTTCTTTCTTTCTTCCAAAATGTTTTGTTTTTGCGTAACTGCTAGGCATGTAAACCTTACAGGTACTGCATTTAAAAAGTGTTGATTACTTGATTTGTGGAATCCGGAGAAATTTTATTTGCGTTGCTTTTTCGTTTAAAAGAAAACGGGGGAAAACGGGGCTTGGAATTGCTTTGATAAAAAATGCATCCTGGTACATTAGCATTTACCAATGGCCTAACTAACATTTACATGTTCTAGGGAAATTCAAAAGGCCACACAAAATTTCACAAATACTTTGGGAGAAGGATCATTTGGCATTGTTTATAAGGCCATGATGCCTACTGGAGAAGTGGTAGCTGTGAAGATACTTGCACCCAATTCCAAACAAGGGGAGAAAGAATTTCTAACGGAGGTATATGCTCATAAATTTTTTAGTATCTTATTGGTTTATGAAAAAGGGTCTGTGACCTTGTGTAGAGAGGGGGCTGCTGGGTTATAGGCAAAGCTGCCTGGCTGGTATTTGATCCTAGAATTTGGGACTCATTGACCAGTTGAAATAAGGCTCTTTGCAAATAACTACGTTAGTACAAGGTGTTCTTACCTGAAAGAGAAGGTGTTGAACTCAGTTGAGAATGAGTTATCCTTTCCTTCAGTTACTGATAGGGCACGTACAAAAAGGATTTTGATGAGTGGGAAACATGCCTGGTGTAGTGGCGCTCCTCATATATACGTGTGGGGATCTTATCTTTTAATTCAGGTAAGTGATCGAGATAAGATCTAGACGACATACACCTGGCGGATATCATGGATCTTGGATTGTCAGTGGTTATAAATGCTTAGTGTTAAAATAAGAGATTGGTGCGAGATTTACACAAATACTCCTATATATCATGCTTCTAAAGACAAGAGGATAGATTATATTCGATAGGTGGGAAGCTTGGTTTTGGCAATCTCATGGTTGGACCGACCAAACCAGCTCAGGTGCTGTCATAGGCTGAGGTCCACCTGGCCTACCTGGTGTACAGCCTGGCTAACACCAGTTTGCTGTGGCATATTACACAAGTTTGTGGGATGTACAACTTTCCTTTGTTTTGAATCTTCAGTAGTGAGTTATATAATATTGGGAAACAATTTAATTGCTTATGATTGAGATACTACCGGCTATGACATTAAATATTTATGGGCATCATTTACAACTTGATCAAAATGATGAAAATTCAGAGGAAACATGCATATAATGCTACTAAATGTTTGCTTTGATTACCTTATAGGCTTATAGATTATCATAGTTTAAGAGTATCTTCAATGCAGAAGTCTTTAGAAGGGTCTTAAATTTAAGACTTAGGTCTTGTAAGAATATCTCATCGGAGCAAGCTCGTGTGACATAGTGAAGGTCTTCAGCATTAACAATAAAAACAATATTTCAATGACAACAACTATCTTTAGAATATGATTTCAACATTTCAATAGTTTTACAAGTTGTAAAAAGTTGAAGTGTAAATAAAAAATTATAAAAATGTGGGTTCTTATAAAATTTTACCATTAAAACAAAACTTGTAAAAATATAACAAGTTGTTTAAAATGACGTGGTATGGTAGGACCCAATTAAAGTAGGATAGACCAATGTGAGTATCTTATAAGACTCTTGCATTGTAGATGCTCCAACTCAGTTTTGATCACTTCTCGGAAGTTCTAAAGTATTTTGTGCTGTTTGATTTGAACTGCTTTGGAACATACATTCAATGACCTGAAAATTTATTTGACTTTGTATTTGCATTTTGCTGTATGAATATCATCGTTGGCACATGAATTCCTTCTAAGGCAAAATAAGTTCCTTATCTGCCAGATGTAATAATTTTAAATGGTGGGGATACCCATTTATTTTCCGCTGGATTCACTTTAATAATATTGGTTCTTGTTTGAACAACTCCAAGTATTACTCAATGAATTACCCCTCACCAGCTTAGTCAATGATTTTTAATATATGTTGATCCAGGTGCTTCTGCTAGGAAGACTTCATCATCGGAATCTTGTAAATTTGTTGGGGTACTGCGTAGATAAGGGACAGCTTATGCTTGTTTACGAGTTCATGAGTAATGGAAGTTTAGAAAACCTTTTATACGGTAAATGGAAGATCTTCCATGTTCCTCTTACTTTCTTTTACATGTTTTTAGTAGTCTAAAATTTATTAACACAGTTTTCACCTTTTGGTCTGAGAAACAGCAGAGTTTTTTATTCTTATTTTTATGTTAACGCCTTGATCTTAAAAATAAAGTTTTCTGTAATATCTATTGAGAATAGTTGTGCATGCATGTAGGTGAAGAAAAAGAATTGAGTTGGGATGAAAGGCTGCAAATTGCTGTTGATATTTCTCACGGAATAGAATACCTTCACGAAGGGGTATGCTTAATGTTATATTTTGTCCTATACTATATCAAAATGCCTCTGGTTAATATGAATATGTATGAACAGGCAGTACCACCAGTTGTACATCGTGATTTGAAATCTGCTAATATTCTGCTAGATCACTCAATGAGAGCTAAGGTAAGCTTGTTCCTGCTATTGCTTTTTGATAGTTTTATTCGTTTTTCTCAAGTTTTAATATGATGTCAACTCAAACATTCTAATCATTTCCAGGTAGAGTGATCTATAAGAGGTATATGTAAATTAAACATATTCAAGGTATTTTCAAAAGGATTGTTTAGAAACTTTGTCAGTGACAACAAATTGTTTCTGAATTACTTCTGCTATATTTGTGTCTGCATTCTGCAACCAATGTTGATTATGTTATAACTTGCAGCTAACATAGATACTGCCCCTCCTTTCTTCCTGTGCTCGTTTACACAGAAATAACGAGAGACAAATCATTTTGTATTTACTTAAGTAATGAATTGCTGGGGGTATTTTACTGTTAGTGTTTTTTAGGTTAAGGATTTCTGTGAGGAAATAACTGAAGACATTCAAAACTTACTTCTAATCTTTTGACTATAAAATCCGTCATATACAGTCCAAAGTAATTTCTTCTGTATATTTTAATGAAATGAGGTTTACGGTAAATTAATTTTCTATTTGGTTACATTTTAAAATTGGCTGCAGGGCAACGACATGCAAAACTTTTTTATGATGTGGTGAGACTAAAGAATGATGTGTTGTCTATTTTACGATAATAGCAGTACTATATTCAGAGAATCAATCCCATAAACTTAGGGATTAGAATCATTGTACCTATAAATTTTTTTAATAGAGATAGGAATTTCCTTACTATATAATTAGACACTATTTCCCTAATTATATTAAATATCTCAACGTGGAACTGAGCTGAAGAATTTCGAAGTTTTCCCAAAAGCAGCTGAAGAAACAATTTTTTCTTTTTATGTTGTTTTTATTGTCTGGTATTGATTATCTGTAAAAATTACCGATTATGTAGGTTTCTGATTTTGGCCTCTCAAGGGAAGAGATCTTTGATGGCCGTAATTCTGGCCTTAAAGGAACGTACGGGTACATGGATCCAGCATACATTTCCTCAAGCAAGTTCACTGTGAAGAGTGACATTTACAGTTTCGGTATAATAATTTTTGAGCTCATCACTGCTATCCACCCACATCAAAATTTGATGGAATATATCAACCTTGTAAGTTATTTATACTTTGAAAAGCAACTACTTCGTCTTGAATTGTCAATGATAGTGTGATAAATCTTTAGACTAATTCTCTTTTCTAAGTATCATTAATTATTTCATTTACTGCTAGGCTGCAATGGATTATGATGGTGTGGATGGGATTCTTGACAAGCAACTTGTGGGAACATGCAACGTTGAAGAAGTGCGACAGCTTGCTAAAATTGCACACAAATGTTTGCACAAATCACCTAAGAAACGCCCCTCTATAGGTGAGGTTTCGCAGGTTATATTGGGGATTAAGCAAAGGCGGCTCATGAAAGAAGACACCATGTCATTTGCAAGCACCAACTTCTCCCGCAGTGTGAGTCAAATAGAGGAGCAACAGGTTGAATTAAGTAGAATAATCACCGTGAACCACAGGGAAATGGGGTGAAGGCATGTTCATATATTTTGTTCTGAAAATTGTTTTGAGTTTGACTCAAGGAAATTTGTACAAAAAATCATAGAATTCCACTAGCTGCAGATGTGAGTCAAGATGTACAGATAACAAGGGCGGCTCTCATGCTACTCTGAAACATGATTTTGGTTTGTGAGTTTTTTGTAGCTAAATAACCCAAATAAATCCTTCATTTTAAACCAACCATTTACCCATAAATGTACGCTTTCGGCGGAACAATTAAAGATGATAGCTTTTGTCCCATATGAGTTGATTTTTACTTTGCCTTTTAGTAGAAAGTAACTTCTGGAACTTAAAGTGCGCATAAGATATGTGAAAAGAATAGACAAAGGTTCGGAGTAGTATGACAGGTTGCAATGCCACTTGATACTCGATACTGAACCCTGCAGAGGTGTTACCATTATTCATCTTCATACTCGATATTTATGAACACTTTATAAAAAAAATATAACAATAAATACATAAAAAGTGCGGCACATGGCGGCGTCACATATGGATTAGTAGATTTAAGAATATATATAATACTTAGTATATAATACATAGTTTCATACAACGTTAATCTACATTATTTTTCTTCTTCCTATCTCATTACAACAAGGAAAATAATGTTTTGACAACTTGATTTTTTTAAACAACTTAACTACAATTCTATTTATTAATAAATACTAATTTTAAATTAATTTTATTTAAATTAAAGCTTTTAATAATTATAATATTAATAAAACAAGTTGTAGATGTTTGTGGATGAATGAGTATCATAATATAACCATAAAATAAAATAGAATTAATTTTATGTATATGCAATTTCACTTTTGAGGAAATAATTAGACAAATTCTAAAAATATGTTCAATGAAGTGAAAAAAAATGCAAAGCTGGCAATAAAGTAACTCTCCGATTTGGGAATGAAAAGAAGAGAGTTATATATAAAATCTTTACATTTATTTTATTCTGTAAAATTGAAATGTTTTTAATATAGTTATATTTCAGTTTTGCTTTCTCTTCAATTTGTTAATTCTAATTTCTTTTAATCAAGCTCCTAAAAAAGTCCTTTTCTATTTTACTTTTTTCCTACTTTATTACCTATTTCATTTAACATTCAAACAAAGGAATGTCACCACAACAGATTGCCGACATATACAAAAGATTTAATGAAAAGTTCCCAAAAAATAAAAAATAAAATAAAATTGAAGGCAAGAAGCAAACCACACTAGAAATATCATTTAAATCTCCAAGAAAAACATTTGGTATACACAAATTTATTTTGGCATCTACGCTCGATTATTCTACATATTACTAACCAGTAAACATAAAGTGGAAAAAAAAAAGTAGTAAATCAGGACACAGGCTTCACACCTACTGCTGAATAAGATGTCCCCTCTATTTGCTGATGCAAGACCTCACTACCTGAAAATCTTCATTTACTATCTACTCCTGGATACTTCTTTCCTCCTGGTGTTGCAAAAGTAAAGCTTCTGTACTTATTTATCTATATATAATTCAATGTGTAACATGAGACACATTGTAAAAGTTTCTAATATTTATTGGTTCACTTCACATTTCCCCCTAAAATTGGCATGAAGTTCCAAGTCTCTGTCTCTGCTTCTTGCTCACATTTCCTCGTTTGCAATTAATAAAAGCTGGGATCAGCAGCCTCTGGAAATTCTCGAGAAACTGATTCCACTTGTCTTCATCCATATCTGTAAACTTCACGAAACTTGAGCTTGCAGGCAACTCATTCACAGTTGTGTTTCCAGACGAGGTCCCAGCCAAAAAACCATTATTTTGCTTTACACCTGATTGCTTCCAACCTTTTTCACCATTCCTCGTGTTTTTCACAGACACAGACAGCTTTGAAACATTAGGCACCCTGTTTCCCACAGAACCATTGTATTCATCACCACCTAAGGCGGGTAACTCCCCTTCGCTCCCAGCCTCGTCCTCCTCCATCACACTCTCCTCCAGTTTAGAAAGTGTGTTTCTAACGATTCCATTTTTTGCTCCAACTTGAAAAGGTGGCATTACAGGCAGTTTCTCTTCTACGTTTGTAGTGAAATTCAAATCCTGATCCTCACCATCTAACTCAAACTGAATTACATCCTTGTCTACTACTTCTGATCCAAAAGAAGATAATTCTTCCTGATCTAACAGTTGCTTTGCTTCAATACAGATAAGCTCAAGTTCACTAGGCTCTTCTTCGTGCCCCTGAAATTCCCTACTCATCATGTCACCAATCTCTGCTAGACAAAGTCCAAAAGCTGCTGCTTCCTTGAGGAAGATTGTGCAGAGAATTAAAACCCGCAAGCATGCTTCTCGAATCATGGGCAGTTCCATTCTAAGCATATCTGAATCACGAAATGGGTCAAGATTATATATATAGTCGAGCTCATCATCTGAGAAAGGAATTGATGCCTGAGGCCAATGGATCCACTCAAAATAAGGATCCTCCAAACTTTCAGGGAGACAAAGACCATGATCAATGGGAAAAAGCTCGACCTGATCAAACCTTCCAAACCCTTCAAGCTTCCTGACCAGAAGATTTCCTGCGTGTCTGTCGGTGTTTAAAATTCGCACATCCAAAATCCCAATCCTATGAACAGCAGCAACAGGGAAACTAGAAGTTCCATGATCACTTGCATCAAAATCATGAGGAATGAACTGCTGCAGTGATGCAATCTTGCTTATTTGTTTCTTGTTATGATGCATACTACCATTGACCCTGTCATTTACATTAAAAATGGAATGTGTGACCTTCACAAGGGCAGTAGAGGGCACATTGGCAAAATGATCATGGTCGAGAAGGTAAGCTGCAACTTCTCTGAAACCTGTCTCCCCAACCCTCACTGAACGTTTTAGTCCTGGTTGTCCAAGAGTTTTGCCAACAAAACCTTTAGGGTTGTTTGGTGCATAAGGTTCCTCGTCAGTTGGTTTCACAATAGCAACATTTTCACGGTCAGTATTCCGAAAATAATATGCACCTCCTAATCCACCCTGAATGGGGATTGGTTCAACACCAACTTTTATTGCCATCATAATATCCTTAACCAGTTGTTTCGTTCCTGCAAACATATCTGAGCAACCTATAACCTCAATTGGTCCACCCTGATCCCTCTGATGAAGATCCCTGCCAGTAGGTGAAAGGCATGGGGTAGATGAACTCCTATGTAAAAAAGTCTTAGTGAGAAGAAGTGGAGAATCATTTCGAACAACACTTAGGTCATTCTTTAAGACCATGTCCCCGCATATAAGTGAGCTCTCCTGAGTTGGGACATTGAATGCAACTTGTAATTTCCTTTTCACAGTATGAGCATTGTCCCTTCTATCTAATTCCATTCCCAAAACACAACCAGTATCAGTCTGAACAAATACACGTCTTCTAGCAGAAGGCTTTCTTTCCATTTTCTTATTCCCACAACACTCACTAGGAGGTACTTTGAAGGTTGCAACCACCATCTCATCATGTAAACAGGTGACCAAATCAGGATACATGAGAGGAAAAGGAGAAGAGGCAAACTTGAATGCCAGCAGTGAAGGTGGCAGTGGCAGTGGCAGAGAGTTTCTCTGTCGAGCAAACACCAAAGTCGAATGCTGGCACTTGATGTAGCAGATAAGATTTTTCCCCACAAACAATCATAGTAAACTCTGTAAAATAAAAAAAACTTCCAATGTTCTCACATGACAACAGCTTACTCTACAACACAGATTTCACTCAACAAAACTGCTACATCGGAAATGCCACCTGACAACACAAGTTGTTAGAAAATGAAAATAAAATATATATTACTACACAGAAATATTACCAAAAATGAAGGAAAAATCATTTTCTAAATCTTAATATTCAGTCAAGCACAGAGAAAGAATGTTAAATTTCATCCTTAATGGACTGTCTGACGAATTTAACGAAGGCTTTTTATTTAATTAGTTATTGAAGGATCAGAGGTACCTAATTAATCATAGTAATCGAATGAAAAAGAAGTTGATGTGTATCACCACCATCAGTGCAATATATATAATTACATCTCTATCAGCAACTCGTAATTAAGGAAATCAGTGTTCACCAATGATAGTTTGTGCTCAATAATATGAAAAAAATGCAAATGATCTCAACCTGTAACAACCATAAGGCTAAAGAGAAAACCATCCCTCAAAAGCTAGCTCAAGAGGTTGGAGAACCTCCCTTGTAAGGAGAGGTCTCTAACGTGGGATTTGTTTCAATACTATCCCGTTTAAAAGTTAGCGTCTTTGAAGACTGCATTTCCTAGTACTTCACTCAATCTTCTTATCAGTCAGAAGACTCCATGGGTAACCCTTCTCGAGATGACTGACTCTCAATAAAAGCACCAATGTAACAATTATAAGACTAAAAAGAGGAACCATCTCTCAAAAGCTAACTCAAGAGGTTGGAGAACCTCCCAACTTATATAATCTCCCTGATAAGGAGACTTCCCCAAACGTGGGAACTTGTTACATAACCAAAATAGATAACTAAAATTTGGACCATTCACTTGAAAATGGGAAAGTACGATGTAATTTATATTTTCAGATTTTCATTTTCTTTAATTTTCCTTGCTCAACCTAATCTCGACAGTATCGTAAAATATAACTTATTCCGACTTGCATTTCCTCGCATGAAGTGGCCCCCAACAGATATGACTTCTTGATGCCTCTTTCAAAAGTTTAATTAATTTAAAATTTCTACGCTCTAACTTCTCTAACCACTCAACTAAAGACAAACCGTCCATCATTATATTTAAAGCAAACCGGCCATAAACCTGACACTAAAGTTTCTAAATGCATACTCTATCTCAGTATCGAAGTCCACTACCTAAATTGACCAGTAAAATCTTACTGTATATTGCGAATTGACATAGCCAAATGTGAACTCGACTGCCTCAATTTGGATCCTCCTGCTCTTAAGAAACATGACAGAGTCATATTCTGAGAAAATACACGTTCGATTTCATTACACGTATCCACCACTCAAAAATTAGAGGATACAGCTTGACCTTGAAGTAAGAATTTACAGATCCCAGTATTTTTATGAATTTAATAATTAAATACACAAACAAGTTTTTTTTTTATATATAGTCACATATAACATGACAAGACAATTGATTTTTATATTTTTTAATAATTACTTAAAAATCAAGAGTATAATGATTGAATGACAAAGCATTATAATCATTATTGAAAATTTAAATAGAATAAGTTTAAAGTAAAAAATGATTAAAAAATTCAGTGATCCATCCACAATCCATAAAAATTCAGACCTTTTTATAATTTTTATTCGTTGCATAGAGATTTTAAAATCAATTAACAAAAAACAAAATAGGATAAGATTCTCGCCTTTCTTCAGCCTCCAGAAAGAGCCAACAAGCCACGACGCTTACTACCAGAGGCTTCCATCGTTAACGATTTTACCCTCACAGTATCTACGTCAACATCAACAACAACAACAAAATCATTAGTTTTTATTTCTCCGGAAAATAAAACGAGAAAAAAAAAATCAATTCGTTCGATTCTTAAAAAACGACTCCGTTCAGAAAATTAATTAAACGTATATTCTAGAAACAACGAATATACGAAAAAAAATCGAAGAAGCAGAGGAAGGGTCACCGGCGAGAGGGAGATCGAGCGGTGGCGAGTGGTGCGGAGGCACCGCCGTGAACGTCGGCGGTGAGATCCGAAGAGAGAGGGAATGATGTGCGTCAGTTGGTACTGTCCCGCCACCCAGTACTTTTGGTTTTCTTGCGAACGAGATAGTACGGTCTATTCTGCTTTAACTCGTTCCTATTTAAACTAAATCAATTCTAATTATTTTCTAATACTTTAATATTTTTTAATTCACAAAATAGTACACTGAATCCACAAATTTTAGACACGTGGGGACGCGTGGGTCCACCAGTGAACACGTGGCAGATTGTAAATAGTTTGATGACATGGGAATTATTTATAATTATAAACTTTCTTTTTCGTTGTTGAAAATCTAACGCAGATTATAGTTTGTACTTTCTTTGTATCGTACCATCATCATTATCATTAAAATGGTTGACAAGAACATGATTATCACTAACATTAGTATAACAATATCTTATCTCTTATGTCACTGATTTGACATAAAGTTTCATACGCGCAGTGTGTCGAAAGAGTTAAAACTAATATATCATATTTTTCCTATTTCATATCTCGTATCATGCACTTTATCGTTTTTTACCATATGATTTCTGATATTTGGTTTCACCATAAATTTGTTCCCAGATTGCATACTCCAGTTGGATGAATTTAGTGTTCTGAAGCATGGTGTACGAACATAAGGCTAAGAGTAACCATCTCTCAAAAATAGTTAAGATAGGAGTTCGATGACTGTGGATGAATTTAATGTTCTGAAGCATAACGTAATAATCATAAGGCTAAGAGGGAAATCATCCCTCAAAAGTTAACTCAAGAGGTTGGAGAACCTCTTATCTTATAAAGGTCTCCCTGATAAGAAGACCTCTTCATGTGAAACTTATTATAATATCACTCCATTCGAAAGTCAATGTTCTCGATAACTACATTCTACGACATTTCACTCACAATTTTCTTATCGATCAGAATCCTCCGTAGAAAGTCCTTCTCAAGTTCACTGATTCTCAATAAAAATATCAATATAACAATCATAAAAAATTAGAGAAGGAATCATCCCTCAAAAGTCTGCTATAAGTTGAAAACTTCTTACCTTATAAGAACTCTGCTAAGGAGACCTCCTTACAGACGGCGAAGGCACCGACCTTGTATCACCTATCATACACTCCACCTAAGCAGTTTTTTCGTTTCTTCTCTGCACTACACCTGCGTACATTTCTTTCTCTTCTTATAAGACCGTTTTATATCAATGCATGATTAATAAATTTATATAATAAATAAAAAATTATACACGAGTTTTACGAAGTTGATAAGGATTACTAGTACTTTAGGATAGGTTTTCCCAAAATGAAAGGGAATTAATAATGTATAAAAGAAATGGTTTTATTTACGGGCTTAAAGTGGCGTTTGATTTGATTGCACATGCACATTGAATTGTACCGAAAAATATGTCTCCCACAAAGAGTAGAATAGAAGAAGAGGAGTGCATAAATAGGAAACGTTCCAAACGAGGAACAAATAGCATCTTTATCAACGAGTCGTCACCAACTGTCACCAAAAGATTATATAGTGCTACAGTTTAGTTGCGAGCCACCTAAGCGTGATTAAAAATAGAAAGATACTTAATGCTCAATATCTGTATCCACTTTCTCCGTTGCCAAAAGTTGCATTCATTTTACACACAAATTCAATACTCACCCTTCTTATGCTTTCTCCAAACTTCAATTGCATTCCGCGCGACAAAAGGCGGGATAAAATTTAATTTTAATTTCTCTTTAATCTTTTTATTTATGATTGAAGTTTTTTTCTTCTTGTAATTTTAGTTATTATATTTCAGGAAAACCCTAATTTTGATAAAAAAAATTGGATCTTACATTTTTTTTCATATTTTAATTAATCAAGTTATTTTATAATGCATATATTAGGTAAGTTTAATTGGTCCAATTAAAATAAATCATAGTGACAATTAAAAATGACCAAAGTTACAGTTTAATAAACAATATATTTATCAACTGATGATTTTAATAATGATAATAATAATAAAAAGTAATTAAAACCTCAATTGTTAATTCTTAGTTAATGAGTATTATTATATTTCATTTTCTAAAGTATATTATTACAGTTTAAAAAGTGTTAAATCGTTATTTAAAAAATTAATAAATTTATGGTTTGTTTTTTTATTTATAGTTAATGATTTGTGATTAAAAGAAAGTATAAAAATTGTATTATTTCTTCTTAGTGTGCATTTTGTTTTTCTCATTCGAGTTCTTAATTATCTCCTTTGACATTATTATTTAAGATATAATCATTTTAAACAATTAACTTTGATAAAATTGATCTCAAGTTAATTAACATAACTGAGCTATGTGTTTAAATTACTCTAATTTCCTTTTAAAAAAATAAGGTTAAATTAAAAAAAAAGGGTAAAAAGGGCCAAAAATATCTTTTAACATAAAAAATGATTGTTATCCATAAGAATTAGGTACTTGACCTACTTGTTAGGTCCTCCAGTCAAAGAAGAAAAAAGATTAAAAAATGTAATTTTAAATTATTTAGTCGCATATTCTTAGTAACTATATCAATTAAATCTATATTTTTTTAATAATTTTATAGATTTTTTAAAAGATAGAACTTTATCCTCTAAAATTATTTAATCCATGAAGTTCTAATATCGATTTATTAATTAACTTCAAGAATTATAAAAAGTATTTTATAATTAAAAAAATCACTATCTACTAATTTTCAAAATTAAAATTATGTTCTTTTTTAATTATATTAACCAACCAGTATTATTCCCATAACATGTCCTTCCATTTTAAAACAAAACTTAAATACATTTTTAAGTATTTTATTATCATTCTATG